GTGTGAGTGTGTCCCTGACATAGCACACCTCCTCCCTTCTGCATGTGTGTTTCTCTCAGCTGGAAAGAAGAGGTCCCTGATCTTTAGTGGGTCCTGGGAATGAATACATTACCAAGTCCCAGAACCTCCTGCCCCTGAGTGCCTCTCGTTCTGGACCACCCAGACAGGGACATCTATCTAATGGGTCTGTTAAGCCTGTCTCCCCAACGCTTATCTACTCTCTGCTGCCCAGAAGGTCGGCTCCACAATGACTATTAATTTGTTCAGAGGCGATTTTGGAAAGGGGAATAATGATGCTCCCCTCCACATCTTTGGCCATCCTCCCCAAACGTTCTCATCCTGAGTCCCAGCTCCATCTTACAAACTAGGAAGTAACTGCTTGAACAGCAAGCAGTTATGTTATGACACGGTTAAGCCTTTCTGTGTCCCCTGCTGGTCCCCCAAACAGTCAAGTTAGGGATTGACGCGTCTCTTACCTCGTATGTTGTCCAGTGAGGCCTGGATACCATCTCGGAGATCAGGGTCACCCACTCTCTCTGCCAGCTTCCTGAGTCGGCTTAGAGCCTGCTTGGCCACCTCATGTCGTCTGACTTCTGCTCTCACTGTGGCTAGAGCCAACTGCCTCTGGGCATGCATGTTGCACAGACCTGGCTCGCCAGACTAACAACCACCCCTGGCCCTGAAGCCCATGACCTCCCAGCCCCCAAACTTCAGAAGGCCCCTTCTGCTGTGCCCCAGAACTCCTCAACCCTGCCCGCCCTTCCGTCTGTCGGCCTCACTTCCTGACTGGTGAGTTTCAAACCCACAACCCACACAGTACTTTACTACCTCTTACACCTCCTGCCCCCTCTAGCGTTGGCCCTGCAGCTCTGACAGTCAGTCCCGGCTATGACTCCTGTCAGGTGAAGGGAGCAACCTTAATAGGAGTTCTCCCAGCCTCTGTGGGAGGTAGCTAATTAAGATAGGTGTTGGTTCTGGGAGAATGTGGCCAGCGAGATCACAGGGAGGAGCCTGTATTCTTGGTGATCTGCAAATTTGTCTGAGAATCACACAGAAATCTCCATGCCTCGCTCTGTCACCACAGAGGCCCGTATGCTAGTGTCCAGCTATTCATTACTGTATGCCCAGCCATTAAAGCTAAGACTCAGCCTGCTGAACATCAAGAGTTCAAGTCCCAGTTATTCACACCCTCTGTATACATGTTTCTATTAGCTTCCCTTAGTCAGCTATTCACTAGAACCATCTCCTGTTTATAGGACCCAAGTAGTTATGGGAAGAATGGGTTATAGGGGAGGAAAATAACCTATAGCCAGATAAAACTATGTGCTCCAAGTCCAGCTTCTGTCATAATAATTAGCATGTTTTAAAAATAATAATAATAATTAGCATGTATATAGCATTTAATCATTTACAACATGCTTTCATACATAATAACGACAAGCCGAAAGGGTAGGATAATTTACTACCATTATGCAGAAGGGCAAACTGTTGCTCAGAAAGGTCCATATCCGGTGAAAAAAGATCCGATTGTACTTTTAATTTAATACACACACAACTGAGATACTTGCCAGCTAGTCCCTCAGTACCATTGTTCTGCTCTTGAGTCATGGCCTGATATAGAAGAAAAATGAGGAATTGGAAGCGAAAATGGAGATAAAGCAAGTTGGGGAGGTTGTAGGTAATGGGTTGGCTCAATTATTGTTATTTTTTGGCAGGTGTATGGTGCAGCACGGTGTGTGTGTTCCCATATGTTCTGGTTTCATCTCTTTTACTGTGTTACAGTTCCCTGGCAAAAAACGAACTTAGTCAAGAAGGGTTTCTTTCAGCTATGGTTCTGCGTTATAGCCATTGCTGTGTGGTGTCATAGGCTCACCTGTTTGTGTTCCGCTCTTGTGCAGTTCATAACTTCCTGCCTAGGGAATGGGGCCACCCACTGTGGACCGGTTCTTTTTCACATCAGTTAATTAAGACACCCTCACAGAGACTTGCCCACAAGCCAACCCCACATAGAAAAACTGTCACTAAGCCCCTCTCCCCAGATGATCCTAAACCCTGTCAACACAGTTAGAGCTGCCCGTCACATCATGTGTGTGCGGGTACACATGGACATGTGTGCCTTTGTGTGTGGGGGTTAGTCCAAACTCGTCATTGTGTCTTCCTCGATTGCTCTCCTGATGTGAGAATTTACAAAGGTCTTTATTATGGGGACTCAAAGGGAAATGTAGGCTCACAAAATACAGGACAAGGTAGAAACTGCTATGGGTCCAGCTGCTGAGTCCCCCTGCTCTGCCCAGGGAGATGTGAACAGCCGCACAAGCTTGCTTCTATTCTGACCTCCCAAGAGAGCCAGAGAGACCCCTCCTCTTCCTAATAAGAGATCACGTCTGCACACAGAAGCCACGCCCTAAAACCAGTACCCCAAAACTACTGGCGGAAATGAATTCCCACAACACTCTCCACTGTATTCATTGAGGCAAGGTCTCTCACAAGTCTAGAACTTTCTGATGAAACTAGCTAGCCATCTTTCCCTGAAGACCCCATCTCCACCTCTAGAGTGCCAGAGTTACAGGAAGCAGCCTGCCTGGTCTTTATGTACACTCTGGGATCCAAGTTCTGGTCCGGACACTTGCAGAACAAGCCCCTTATCTCCACAGCTTTGGCCTAATTATTCTGTTTCAAAGACAGATTGAACCTATCTAGATATACCAAATTATTTAATTTTGTATCACTTCTTTTTTAAAAAAAACTATTTTAAAAGTATTTATTTTATTGTTTTTCAAGACAGAGGTTTTCTGTGTAGCCCTCGCTGTCCTGGAACTCACTCTGTAGACCAGGCTGGCCTTGAACTCACAGAGATCTGCCTGCCTCTGTCTTCCAAGTGTTGGGATTAAAGGCGAGCGCCACTATGGATCAGCCATTATTTTTTTAAAAAAATTTATTTATTTATTATGTATACAATATTCTGTGTGTATGCCTGCAGGCCAGAAGAGGGCACCAGACCTCATTACAGATGGTTGTGAGCCACCATGTGGTTGCTGGGAATTTAACTCAGGACCTTTGGAAGAGCAGGCAGTGCTCTTACCCTCTGAGCCATCTCTCCAGCCCCTCAGCCATTATTTATTTTATTTAAAAATTTATTTTCTGTGTATGAGTGTGCCTGCACATATGTATGTGTGCTACGTGTGTGCTTGGTGCCTCCGTGGGTAAGAAGATATTGGGCCCTGTGGAACTGGAGCTATGGATGGTTGTGAGCCACCATGTGGGTTCTGGGAACTGAACTTGAGTACCAACTCTCTAGATCTTCATGCATATTTTCTTGAGGATAGTTTATGAAGGGTAACTGTGGACATCTTTATATTTGAAGAGATAGGGGTTGAGTTTGGATCATTTACTAGTCTCCATAAAAATGGGCTAAACAAGCCGGGCGGTGGTGGCGCACGCCTTTAATCCCAGCACTTGGGAGGCAGAGGCAGGCGGATCTCTGTGAGTTCGAAACCAGCCTGGTCTACAAGAGCTAGTTCCAGGACAGGCTCCAAAACCACAGAGAAACCCTGTCTCGAAAAACCAAAAAAAAAAAAAAAAAGGGGGCTAAACAGTAATAACCGAGTTGCTAGGTACGGGGTATTGACTGGGGCATTTTATATATTCTAGCTCCCTCCGTGCTCACAACAATCCGGGAGTTTCCAGAGTAGCATTGTTAGAGGTAGGTGCATCGCCATCTGTCCCCATTTTATGGCTGAAGTACTTGGCACACACAGATAGTCACAAAGTTAAAACCCTGTGGTTTGACTCCCCTGTTAGGACTAGACTGTAGGGAAGGATTGTGCCATTTCTCACTCCTATTCAAAGGGTACTACGTCCAGATGCTTATGCAATAACGTTATTGACCCATTATACCCCCATCTGGAGTGGAAGTATGGAAAATCGGGGCTGGAGAGATGGCTCAGTGGTTAAGAACACTGGCTGCTCCCCCAGAGGACCTTGATTAAATTCCCAGCATCCACATGACAGCTCACAACTGTCTAACTCCAGTTCCCGGGGATCTGACACTCTCGCACAGACGTACATGCAGGCAAAATGCACATAGAGTTAAAAAAAAAAAAAAGAAAGAAAGAAAGTATGGCCAGGCAGTAGTGGCGCACGCCTTAATCCCAGCACTCGGGAGGCAGAGGCAGGCGAATCCCTGTGAGTTCGAGGCCAGCCTGGTCTACAAGAGCTAGTTCCAGGACAGCTAGTACTATTATACAGGTAATCACTGTCTCAAAAAACAAAACAAACAAATAAAAAGTATGGACGCTCTTTATTTATTCATATTCCAGTCCCGCCCCCACACCTGTGTCATTTTGTGCCAGCCATGTGTTCTAAAGATGTAGAAGACACCAGGGTCTGCGCCTGTGATTTTGTCAGGAATGGGAATGCACCGGCTTCCAAGTCACTGTTTCCACTTGAATTTCTGGCATGGTCACACTGCAGAGGAAGGAATGCAGAACAGGACATGCGTACTAGTAGACACATTTAACAAATGCGTGAGGATTTGCCGGCTGTTGCTATGCTTGACTTGGATCCTCTCTAGCTGGGCTGCACAGCTCAATATTTGTATCCTCTTGCTGTTCCAGAGTGTGACGCACGAACAAAACGATGGCATCATCGTGAGATTACCGTGAAACACGGGGTAAACGGCGGGGAAGGGTTATCCTTGGAGGGGCAGAGCCCCTTCCTCCCACCTTTACAAGCCCCCTTTTTTTTCTGTTCACCTGAGTCTCTCCTCGGATTCCTAATGTTGCACCTCGGAGCACAGGAATCCAGGGTTTTGAAGTTTAGGCTCTGTTCCCTAAGAAACTGTTTAGAAACCCAGTCTTCAGTTTTTTTAAGTTTCGTCCAATGAAGAAACTGAGGGAAGGACTAGGAGGCGGGCTGGTGACGTAATGCAGATTGATTGGCACTGAAATCCTGGATGTCTTGGATTAGCTACGAGTTTCGCCAATCCAGAGGCAGGGGTGGGACGGTGCAGGCGCAGAGAATTGATTTGGCTGGCTTGGATTTAAAGCGATAGAAGCTGTTGGAGTCCTACAAGACGGTCCCCAATACCCTCTCCTCAAGTCCTTGGGACCATTTGGGTCCCCAGAACTGGGGAGATGGTTTGCGGCGGATTTGCCTGTTCCAAGAATGCGTTATGTGCTCTCAACGTGGTTTATATGGTGAGGTTTTGGAGGTGGGGAAAGCTCCGGGACGGAAAGAAGGGAAAATTTCTAGGGCACTTCCGGTGGGTAGAGGGGTTTACTGGGGGTTCTGGGAAGCCTCCCAGAAACTTCCGGCGAAGAGGGAATTCCTGGGGACTTCCGTGGAAGAGAAGAGACTTCCGGTGATGAGGGGTTTGTTTGGTGGTGGGGAGGGGTGGGTCGAAGACTGCGGGCCTATAGTCCCAGTCTTCACTTATGCTCCCTAAGGGGTTCGTATCTCGAGACGCTACTGCCATTGCCCTACGATCCCAGCTATTCCCAGTTACTTGCGAAGAGCGCCCAGAAAGCACATCTCAGTTGGTTACCCATTTATTACAAGGGGACGTGGACTAGCCTTTGGCTGTGCTGCATGCTAGAATTCTTTGGCGATGACAGGGTCTTTGTAGCTAGTACAGGTTAACCTAGAACTTGGTTGTGCTGCGGTTGCGTGGATCACAGGTGTGAGCCACCACATCAGGCTGAAGTGTACTCTGCTTTCTGTTTCTTGCAGCTCGTGGGCTTATTGCTCATTGGCGTGGCTGCCTGGGGCAAGGGCCTGGGCCTGGTGTCCAGCATTCACATCATTGGAGGAGTCATTGCTGTGGGAGTCTTCCTTCTCCTGATTGCAGTGGCTGGGCTCGTGGGGGCTGTTAACCACCACCAAGTGCTGCTCTTCTTTGTATCCTGACCTGGAGTAATTGGGGTCCCTGGGTAGGCTTTTGCTAGAAGGGCAGGGGACCTCAGGTGTGTCTGTTTTTATTCTGTAACTCACAGAAATTGACGTTTTTGTTCTCAACTCGATAAACTATGGTTTTATGGACAGAGAAGGGCCTTGAACTCTAATCCCTCGCCTGCCACATTGCAGTTACAAATTACACTGAGTGAGATTTTTAAAAACAAAAAAATGGGATCGTGCTACATAGTCCTGCTAGCCTGGAACTTACACCAGGCTGGCCTTCACACTGAGATATTTTCAATGGAAACCAGATCTTTTTTGCCATAACTTCCTCTCAGTACATGATCATCCTTGGCTTGGTCTTCATCTTCCAGTTTGGAATCTCTTGCTCATGTCTGGCTATTAACCGCAGCAAACAGGTAAGGTGATGCCCTCTCAAGTGCATGCTTTCCCTGCCTTTAAAGCTAAATCTGACCGTTTCATTACCTTCATCCTCTGAGATGTATGGTTATTTCCCCAAGATGTAGACTCTGAGAAACACACTTAACATTGTCTGTGACCATGACACGCGTCCTGTTTCTGTGGGATTCTGTGTGCTGATTGCCCTTGCTAGAGTGCAGGGGTAGGTTGACACTCCTCTGCCTATATGCTCTAGACAGATGTCATCAATGCGTCTTGGTGGGTCATGAGCAACAGTACCCGGCATGAATTGGAGAGAAGCTTTGATTGCTGTGGTTTGTTCAACCTTACAGCTCCATACCCACAAGACGATACTTCCTGCGGTGCGGTAAGTTCAAGGATTGGGAGCACAGTGAGGAAGAAGTGGGCAAGGGGCAGAGGTGGCCTCAGGGTGAGGTGTCAGTCTTCACTGAGTGATGCTAAAGAAATAGAGGCTGCAAGGGTTTAGCCAAGTGGGGCTCCAGTCTGGGAATGATGTGCATTGTAGCTACTTTTGTCCTCAGATGTGCAAGACCAGGAGTTCTGCATGCCAGATGTGTGGGGAGAAGTTCCTTAAACACTCAGACAAAGCCCTGAAAATCCTAGGTGGTGTTGGGCTCTTCTTTAGCTTCACAGAGGTAATGATTCCCATTTCCTTCATGTAGACACCTGTAAGCCTTAAAACCCAAGACTCAAAAATAACTTGCTTTCTCTCTCCCTTTCCTGTAGATCCTTGGTGTTTGGCTGGCAATGAGATTCCGGAATCAAAAGGACCCCCGAGCCAACCCCAGTGCCTTTTTGTAGATTCGGTCTTCCAGATAGCCTAGACTGGCTCCCAACTTTCTATGTAATCAAGGATGACCTTGGGTTCTGGATCCCCCCTGCCACAGCCCCCAGGTGGTAGGATTACAGGTGTGTCACCACACTCAGCAAGTCTCTGGGTCCTCCTGACTTGGTTTTGCATTCTCCCAGCTTTTTATACCACCCCCCACCTAGAGTTTTGAAAACCTGGGGTGGGGACCGCCATCTGGTTTTTGTTTTAAAAGAAAAAAAGGCCCCTCGCCTCATTTCCTAAAACCCATCAAGTGATAGACAAATTTTGTCTTACATATTTTGATGGGAACAAGATATAGGGAAAGGAAAACTTTATACCTCCCCCTAGAAAATACAGTATACTCTTAGAAGCATGAGCAGGGGCTGCATGCCCTTCATAACCATTTCCCCTCCTTTTGACTCCTTAGGTTGGCTCCAAGGACAAATCAGAAAGTACCAGGGGGAAACAACTTTCTTGGGTGGGGGAGGCAGTGCTGGGGCTTTAGCCCAGGGCCTCACACATGCCAGGCAAGTGTTTCCACCACTGAACTACAGCCCCAGCCCCACTCACAAGTCTTGCCAAGGCAGGACCCAGAATGAAGCAGTGAACTCAAAACTAAAGCCATTTTAACTGAGTATTCAGAGAAAGAAATTGAAAGATTCTTTCTAACCTTGTCAGCCAAAGAGCTGGGCTGCTCATCTGGGTCCTGTGTAACCGTCTACAGATGTTACAGGGAACCTTCCCACGGGGCCCTCAAATCTCCCAAAGGCAAAGCCAATCAGAAAAACATTAAAGAAAAAAAAGACCATATTTCTTTGTCTCGTTTTGCTGTATAAAAAAGATCCCAATATAAATCAGGGAGGGGAGAAGACAGATACACCCACCCCTTAGTGTAGAGAATGGGGGGGGGCAAGAGGGTAAGCCTCCTAAGGAGAAGTGGGGAAGGGAATGTCATTTAAGGCTTAAAATATTCTCTGTAAAAAACTGGAGGAGTCTCCACAGCCCTAGAGGAAGGCAGAGGTTGAGAGTCTCGTGCTCGGTGTCCAGAGACGAAAGGCAGCCCAGCCACTCTTCTCACTCTGGGTCACTTTCTTCCTTGTGCAGGTAAGAGTGCTGCAGGGCACGGAAGGCCGAGATCCGCTTATGTGGGTTAAAAGTCAGCATCTCCTAAGGGGAGAGGCAAAGGTCAGAAAGAATGGAAGAGGGGGTGCCCACCCTACCAAAGCTGCAAGGGGTTCCCTTTACCCCTACTCTGCCACCCACTCACAGCAACGAAAACCACAGCCAGTCCATTAACCAGACCTGGATTCCACGTTGGTCTTTGTGCGTGCGTGTTCATGTGTGAAAGAATTTGGGCGTGGGCGTGTCAGGGTAGTCTGGGGTGTCAGTCCTTCCCTTCCATGGTGCTTCAGAGTTTCTTGTCGATACTATATTCACCAGGCTATCTGGCCTGTGAGCTTCCAGGGAATTCTGCCCCCGCCCCCCATCTTGCTGTAGTAACACTACAGAAGCTGGCTGCCACACACAGCTTCTACATGGGTTCTGGGGATTCGAACTCAGGTCCACACTTCTGCCCTAAGAGCTTCACCCACAGAGCCACCCCCCAGCCCATGTGCAGTACCAGCAGCAGCTGTGCTCCGGATTCCTCCATCTCCGGCACCACCGACTGCACTGGCCGAGGCCCTCTCGGGGAAAAGGCTCCTCGGGGCAGAGAGACCTCTCGAGGCCAGTCGTCTTCTGGAGGCAATCCGATGAGACTGTAGGGATAGGACAACCCTGCTCAGGGAGCCTTTCAGTTGCCCACTGGAGCTGAGCAGAAGGAAACTCAGAAAGGGAGTTTCCTTCCTCCTGACTGGATACTTACTCAAAAATTTTGCCCAACTGGTCGGCTTCCGAGTTTCCACAGAAGAGAGGCCTAAGGCAGAAAAATATCCCAAGTATATATTATTTCAAGAACACGAGCATGCCAGCCATGAAGGCTCAGATTAGAGAGGACGGAGGATGAAGGGGTGTGACGTTCCCAACTCCGAGGCATTTCAGGAGGTTCGCCTGCATCTCCTGAAACACCAACAGGGGAGATTGGGACTACAGCTGGGTGGCAGTGTATGCACCTAACACATACGAGAGCCTAGGTCGGGGTCCAACACGGTCAAAAACAGATACATCTTATAAAAAGACGTGGGTGGGGATTGTAGTTTGGTGGGATAGAGGATTTGCCTGTGTACATCCAGTTCTGATTTCAGCCTCCAACACCATAATTAATAACAGGGCTTGTGGAACTGAAGGTGGCTTAAAGAGTTCCAAGCCCTGAGCCAGGCAGATCTGAGTTCAAGGCTAGCCTGGTCTACAGAGGGAGTCTACAGGACAGCTAAGGCTACAGAGAGAAACCCTGTCTCAAAAACAAAAGAGTTTCAAGTCCCATACTTTCGACGGAACATCTCCGCGAAGATACAGCCAACGCTCCACATGTCCACAGGTGTGGCGTAGGTGGACTGCAGGAGGACTTCAGGGGCGCGGTACCAGAGCGTGACAACCTGAACAGGAGAGGAGACACCAGTGAGGGTCCTTCTTGTGAATCCTAGCTGCCTGGCTTGGGAAACATCAAGTCCAGGATGGCCTCAGTCCTATGGGCAATAACATCCTACCCACCATCCCAGCCCATTTGGGCGGCCATCTTTCTACTGACCACAGGGGTGAGGGCCATCTGGTAGCTGTAGATTCGGGCTAAGCCAAAGTCAGCCAGCTTGACGGTCCCATTGCTTGTCACCAGGATGTTCTCCGGTTTCAGGTCTCGATGAACAATGCAATTTGCATGCAGAAAATCTAGGCCGCTTAGAAACTGCCGCATCAGATCCTGGTTTTGAAGGAGAAAGCACAGACCACTGGAAACTATGGAACGTGGCCAAAAATCCCAACAAGTTCTACCGCAAAGATCCCAGTCCACTTCTCAGTGTCCACCGCACTCACCTTGATGGTCTCAACTGGCAAGCCTGGTGGTGGGGCTTTGTCCAGGTATGTCCTTAGGTCCTGGTCTATGTGCTCAAACACTAGGGTAACCTTGATGTCTCGGTCAGTTCGGGAAGTAGCACAGACATCCATTAGCCTGACAAAAATAAATGGTCACCAACGGGTCAATCTCCTTCGATCCAACGTGGCCCCCTGATTTTTACGGTCCCACTCCTGACCACACACCCGAATTACAGATCCTATTCTTTCCTCCCCACCCAACTTTCTCACCTTACAACATTGGGATGTTCAAAGGCCTCCAACCTCCTCAGTAAGGCCACCTCACGAACTGTGCTGATGGGAAGGCCCCCTCCAGCTCCTCCTCCGTTAGGAACTCTCACACTCTTGAGGGCCACAAAGTGGCCACTGTGGGGATCCCGGGCTTTGTACACCGTCCCATAGGCGCCGACACCGATTTCAGCCACTGGTTCATACCGAGAGGTTGCCATACTCGGAGCAGGGGATCTCCTACAATCACAGAGGCTTCAAATACCAAACTCTCTTTCACAGCTAGTAGGGGGATGTCCCATCAGTAACAAAGGAATTCCTGCCCGCGACTCAGCAGCCCGTCCCCTTCACACTTCCAGAGCCCGCGCCTCAGGTAACACAAAAGGCTCTACCACCAAGCCCTCCAGCCACGTGATGTCCTGGAGAAAAAAGAAGAATGCTTTTCTCTCGGAGGACACCGTACTGGGCACAAAGATCAACACGGTGCACAGGGCGGGCATCGAAGATTCCACACCTCATTCTCTAAAATCACACCCTCGCCCGCGACCACAAAGGCCCCCACTTCCCGCCCTTGGGCCACCCTTCCATAAGCAGCCAGCGACGCGCACCCAAGGGGAGCGAGGCGGCGGTGGTGACGGCGACTGGCACCCCATCCCTGGAAGGGGCTGCACTTACCTTACGCCCGGCCGAGAGCTGGGGAGGTGGCCCTTTATCTGGGCCCGGGAGCCGGTTCCTGAGGCGCCATACACCGGGGATCGGTCCCGCGCAGCTGGACGCTACGGACCAGACCATAGACACAGGCCGCGAGCTAGAGAGGCCCCCTCACCCCCACCCTCACCATGTGACCAGCTGCCAGAGAGGCGCGCGGAAACTGGGGGGGCGGGGCGAACGCCGGACGTTCGGGGCACGTGACCGCCATCCGTCCTGCGCACTGGGTGACCGGGGCGGCCTTGATGGGAGGGGTGTGGTGGAGGAAGGGGGCGCGGACCGGAGCGACCACGTGACCTGTTGCTATCCCACGTGACCCCTTGACTTTGCTCTGAGAAGCAGAGGTGTGGTTACGCTGTGTGGCACGTGACACTGGCTGCCGTTCCCTGACAGCTGAGGAGGGGGGTTGTGGGGGCGAGAGGGTGGAGCACCAGGCGGTGCCATGGCAACCGGGCCAACCAGCGCTCAACACTCGGCTCAAGGCCGAGCCTGAGCGCATCTATAGTCTCACTACACGTCTGTCCGTGGGCGGGAGGTCGGGGTGCTAGTGGGAGATCCTGGTACCAGAGATGCTGCTGTCATATTTCCACTCCACCGCCATGGGGAAACATTCGTATTTGTGTCTTTGTTTTACTCATTCATTCAACAAAATTTTACTAAGTGCTTCTTCCTTTCACTTGGTATGCGATGTTTTTGTTTTGGTGTTTCCAGTCAGTCGCCCTTTAAAGTAACGCCAAGGATAGCTAACGTAGGCGAGTGTAGTCTTAAGAAGGGGAGGAGACACTTTCTATCTGAGGGGGAAACTAGGATTAAAAGATGGACGGAAGAAAAGATTAATATAGTTAGCCACTGTAGGGGAAGAGTGGCCCTCCCCTCTTCCAACTTGTAAACCTCCCTGGGAATATTCAAAGCAGCAAGGAGTTATTGGCAATAAGGACACTTGATCGTAAAAGGCTCTTAACACTCATATTCTGTATTCTGTTACATGTGTGTAATTGTACATATGAACAGACAACAACATGTACAAGCGTGGTCACCAGCTCCACTGCAGACCACCACGTTGCCTGAGAATCTCGTGTCTCTGCAAACCCGGGCTCTTCATTGGTGTCACATTCCTTTTAGTTTTCAGGGCAGCCTTCAGCTCTACCCTTGCCTAAACAGCATTTCTCAAGTGGTGTGTCTGCCCACAGAAATCTAGGTAGACAGGTATATTTGACATTGTTTTATGGGCTCCAACTCTTTTATTGTTTCCCATCATTAAGGTATATGGGAATAAAGAACCATGTACTCATTTGTGGGAAACAACCTAAAATCTCGAGATAATTTAAAACTGATTTTTAACCAGGCAATGGTGGTGCACGTCTTTAATCCCAGAACTCCGAACGCAGAGGGAGGTGGATCTCTGTGAGTTTGAGGCCAGCCTGGTCTACAGAGAGAGTTCCAGGACAGCCCGGGGCTACACAGAGAAACCCTGCCTCAAAATAATAAATAAATAAATAAATAAATAAAATTGGTTTTTAGTGCTAGGAATTGGAGTCGGTGTTTTTAATTTTTTAATGTAGTTAGCATGTGTTCAGTCACTGTGCTATACTCTGAAACCCTAAACTGAAATCATGTTTGAGATGTATATAGCTGAGGCTGGCCTTAAATTCACAGTTGTTGTGCCTTAGCCTCCTAAATGCTGTTTTTACAGACTTGAGTAGCAACTATGGCTCTGCTTTATTTATTTATTATTTATTTATTTATTTATGTGGAATTTTGTTTTAATGGGAAGGTCAACCCAGGTTGACCTTGAAACAGACACGAAGCTAGGCTAGCCTCAAATGTTTGATTGCTTGGTCCTACTGCTCCAAGAAGGTTAGTGGCATGCACTATGATCAATTTCGTTTCTTTCTTTCTTTCTTTCTTTGTTTTTCTTTCCTTCTTTCTTTTCTTCTTCTTCTTCTCGACAGAGTCTTTTCCTTGTAGCCCAGGCTGGCTCCAGATTCTCTGAAGTCCAAGTGCTTGAGCCACAACTAGCCTGAAACCATTTTAGCATCTGGTTTGCCATGTGTTCAATTCTTACTTTTATCCTTACTTTCTTGGTTGAGAATGTAACAGTGGTGGGACGTGGTGGGGCGTGGTGGGGTGTGGTGGGGCGTGATGGGGCATGGTGGGGCACAGTGGCACACATCTTTAATCCCGGGGGGGGGGGTCTGGGAGGCGGAGGCAGAGGCAGGTGGATGGCCAGCCTGATCTAGTTAGTGAGTTTCAGGCTAGCCAGGACCACACAATCAAACCTTGTGTGAGAGGGGGATGGGGAGCGGAAACACACAGTCAGTGTAACAGCAGCAACTCAATATTAATGTAACTCATAATCTAGAACAAAATGGAAGGCACATAAGGCAGATTTCCTCTCTTGCTTGTGCCAAGGAGACTGTAAGAAAAAGATCAGGGCTAAGGGGCTGGAGAGGTGTTTTGTTGGCTACATTCCTAGGGCTGTATGGGGTTTTTAGCTGTCTGAAAGGCTAGGTGTCTGTGAGCTTATTAAACTCCTAACACAGTTTTGGTTTTCCTGAGACAGGGTCTCACTGTGTAGCCCCGGTTGTCCTGGAAATTGGTAGACCAGGTTGGCCTCCAACTGACAGAGAGTGCCTGCCTCTGGCTTCTGAATGCTAAAATTAAAGACCATCACTGACCGGCTTTATTTATTTATTTTTGTTGGTTGGTTTGGTTTGGTTTTCCCAGTGCAGGTATTACCTGCTTCATCTTGCCGCTCATATGAGCACACTGCAGCTCGCTGTGCTTACAAGGAAAAACTCTCTTCTTTGTCTTTAACTCACAGACTTCCCCTCTGCTTCATTCATTGGTCCACCCAAAGCACTCGGATGTTCTGCACAAACATGACTGTCTTCGCTACCACTTTCCATTGAGGAGTCTTAATGTGGCAATCTGTCCCTGGTTCGACTTGCTCATTCCCTCCCTTCTCTGTTAATTACTCTTTTACTAATTAATTTTTTTTGTATGTGTCTTTGACCCAGTGGGTTCCCGGGGAATCCTTTTTCCCTCAGCTTCACAAAGAGGCTGAGAGGGAAGGTGTTAAACATAAAGCCGGGGGAAAAATGATAGGCTGAGAGTAGCTCTAGGGGTCAACTTGAAACAAAGATTTACCCGTGTATATGCGGTACTCACTTCAGAGTAGTAGAGCTGAGGGCAGGGGGGCATCAAGCAAGACACGCCCATCCTTTGGTATTCCTTTTTCTGCTCACTCACCACCTTCACACATTAGAATCAATCGCTCGTGTCTCACACACTCTGATTCCATTCCTGCACACCACCATCTCACGGTCCCGTACCCGGCACCCTCTACAATCTTTTGTGTGCTACTAGGGGCCATCTCCTGCCCACTCAACGCCCGCACACCTCTAACCCCTTGCGGAGCTCTTTCTCTGCACACTCCCATTGTGCACACACCTCTGGGCCTCGTTACACCTGCAGCCTCTGACGACTCACCTTCCATCCTCACGCCCACCCGCGCGCGCACACACCTATTCTTCTACCAGGGTACACACTCCCCTTCCTTAGCCACTCCCCTCCTTCCTTGTCTCGCACACTCGCCCCGCCCCTGGGGACACCTGCTCGTGCTGGGCAGGGCGGGGATGCGCAGCCGCGGCCCCTTCTCCTCCGCTCCCCCTCCCCGCCCCACCCCTCCCTCCATCCCTCACCGGCTCCCCGGCTCCCGCCCCGCCCGCCCGCCGCTCCGGGGGGGTCTCCGCCGCCGCCGCCGCCGGAAGGAGCCGCCATTTGCCACCGCCGAGCGCACGGGCCGAGCCGAGCCGGATCCGGGAGTCGGAGCGGGACTGGGGCTGGGAGGACGGCGATGGGGGGCGGCCCCGCCGCAGGAAGACCGGGGCGCGTAAGCCCCGGCGCCCGGCCGGCTCCGGACCCCGACCCGCGGGGCGCGGCACCCTGAGCCCCTTCCCCGCCCCCTGCCCCTGCTCGGGCCATGCCTGTCCACCCTGCCATCCCCGGGCTGATGGCCCTCTCGGCCCTGCGAGCCCTGGAGCCCCGGCGGTGGCAGCAGTGAGCGGCGCTTGCAGGCCGCGGAGACCCCGGCCCGGACCGGCGCTCCCGCGCGCGCCCCCTTCCCGGCCTTGTCCTCGCCCCTCCCCCAGCCGCCCGGGAGCCCCCCTCGCTCGCCGCCCCCCGCCCCCCGGTGCCCGGACGATGCTCAAGTCTCGGCTCCGCATGTTCCTGAACGAGCTGAAGCTGCTGGTGCTGACGGGCGGGGGGCGGCCCCGGGCCGAGCCGCAGCCCCGGGGGGGCGGGGGAGGCGGCTGCGGCTGGGCGCCCTTCGCTGGCTGCTCCGCCCGGGACGGCGACGGCGACGAGGAAGAGTACTACGGGTCGGAGCCGCGGGCCCGGGGCCTGGCCGGCGACAAGGAACCGCGGGCCGGACCCCCGCCGCCGCCCGCGCCGCCGCCGCCGCCCCCAGGCGCGCTGGACGCCCTGTCGCTGAGCAGCAGCCTGGACAGTGGGCTCCGAACCCCCCAGTGCAGGATCTGCTTCCAAGGCCCGGAGCAGGTCAGGCTTGCCCGAGCACCTGGCTGGGCGGGGAGGGGTGGGGGCGCGCACCTGGGGTGTCCGCGGAGACCGGAGCAGGGGGCGGGGCCTGGGGCAGCTGGGCGGGACCCAGGACCCCGAGTGGGAGTGGGGTGAGCTTGGCCTGTCTGGAGACTGCTGGAGTGTGTCAAGATTGGGGCAGGGGGAGTCGGGGGCTCTCAGGATGGGGTGGGGCTTTCTCCTAGAAGGGCTCAGGATCTGTGTCACCCATTATCAGGACAGCTGTTAGCACCTGCTCCCCTCACCTTAGGGTCATCGTCATTAGCTGAGGGAGCCCGTTTTTTCCGAGGTGGGCCTAGAGGAGAGTACATTTGTTCGCACCTTGAGAGGAGGGGCCGGCCAGGACCCTGCCTCACTCAGTCTCTCCTTTGGTGAGGCACTTTTTGCTCCCATTCTGCAACTTTCCACTTCATTCTAAAGAGCCTCCTTTGTTTAATTTTATAGGTAAAGTTGTCCCGGGATAGTACCGGGGGGGGGGGTGTCCCTGTGCAGTGAGAAATGACTGCTTGACTAAAAGGGACCATGTCCCACTCTTGACCGCAGAACGTCTCCCCATTGTAGTGTGGAAGCCACGATCGGTTTTATCCATCCCAGTTGGCACCAGACCTATATGCTGGAAGTACCGTGGAGTGGGTGAAGGAAGGAATAGCTCAGCTGCTCTGACTCTCCTCTCCCTCCAGATCCTTAGGGAGAGGCCGTCATAATCACCTTTGCAGTTTCTAGGCAAGGGGAGAATGGGCTTCCCTCGCACCCCAAATTGAATTCCTTTGGTTGCAGAAGTTTTTCTTGAGCTCTGACTTCTTACTTTTGTACTGCAGCCATAGCTTCTTTGCTTCTTTCTTAACCCTGCTTTGGGTTAAAAGCCGGAGCATTTAAATGTAGTAGTGTAAGCGGTTTCCTCTCCAGGAGAGCAGCAGAAGGGGTCCGGGTGTAGATGGCTGACTGGGGCCCTCCCCTCTCTTCCTCCAGGGGGAGCTCCTGAGTCCTTGCCGCTGTGACGGCTCAGTGCGTTGTACACACCAGCCCTGCCTCATCCGCTGGATCAGTGAGAGGGGCTCTTGGAGCTGTGAACTCTGCTACTTCAAGTACCAGGTCCTGGCGATCAGCACCAAGAACCCATTGCAGGTGAGGTGCCGAGAGAGGACTCAGAATGGATCCATTTTATTTGCTGTTTTCCTCCCTGTAGCGTTATGGCATTCCAAGACACTGGTCTGGCGCTATTCTAGGGACCTTAGAACAACGGAGGGAAAAAATGATGCTGGCGATGATAGTGCATGCACTCAGTTTCCTGTGTGCCGTTTGTTGTATATTAACTCTTTTAACTGGGTACCATGATTGTGCCTGTCTTTAGAAACATAGGCACTGACTCACGTAGAATTATTCAACTAGTAAGAGATGGAATTAAGATTGGAGTGCCAATGTATATGTTTGGGTTTCAAAGCTCTTGTCCAATCGTGCCTTTCTAGAATAAGCTGGACTAGTTGTCTCAGGTTAGATCACCGTATGGGGAAGACAGATTGTTCCTGTGACTTTTTGGAACATTTTCTCCCAAACAGTGGCAGGCCATCTCCCTGACTGTCATCGAGAAGGTCCAGATTGCGGCCATAGTTCTGGGCTCACTGTTCCTCGTCGCCAGCATATCCTGGCTCATCTGGTCCTCACTCAGCCCTTCAGCCAAGTGGCAGCGCCAGGATCTCCTCTTCCAGATCTGCTACGGCATGTACGGCTTCATGGACGTCGTCTGCATAGGTGAGAGGACACCTCCCTGCTCTCCCCCTACCTGCTTAGCATTGCCTGGCTCCCCGCCCATCTTTTGGTTTCATAGTCCTAACCCTACCCCTGGAGACTGTCGGGGCTATCCTGGGGCCGTCCTCTATGGCTCTGTCTTCTCAGTCTGCAGACACGAATGCTCATGGACCTGTGGCTCTGTACGTGGGCAGCGGTTCACCCTGGTTTTCTCATCCCTCTTCTTCAGGCCTCATCGTTCATGAAGGCTCTTCCGTCTACCGCATCTTCAAGCGCTGGCAAGCAGTGAACCAACAGTGGAAGGTCTTGAATTATGACAAGACCAAGGACATAGGAGGAGATGCAGGGGGAGGGACAGCAGGGAAACCAGGCCCCAGGACCTCACGGACCAGCCCCCCAGCTGGGGCCCCCAGCCGGCCCCCAGCTGCCCAGCGCATGCGGACGCTCTTGCCTCAGCGCTGTGGTTATACAATCCTGCATCTCCTTGGACAGCTACGGCCACCAGATGCCCGTTCCAGCTCTCATTCTGGTCGAGAGGTTGTCATGAGGGTCACTACAGTTTGACCTGGACTCCAGGGGCAGGGATCTCAACTCAGAGCGGCAGCCAGAGATGAGCTCTCCTGGCTGCTGAAGGTACGACCTACACAAGGTGTATGGGGCACAGCGGGCCCACCACTGAGGATCTCTGTGGACAGCCTCAAGCTTGGAGACATTGTCTGGCCTCTACTGCCCACAGAGTAGAGACACCTGGATAACATTCCAGCTCTCACCGACACCACCTCGTGCTCATCTTGAGGATGGCCGGCCAGCAGGCAGGCGGGCAAGCAGCTTTTCTTCTTGGAGAGAACCATCTTTACCTCAGCTCTAGGGCCTCCAGTCCCCTGGCTCCACCATGGTGACTTGGTAAAGGGAGACCAATGCCAGAACACAAGGGGCTGTAGACCCCCATTCCCCACCCCACGGCCACAGGGCATCTGGCAATAAGACTAGTAAACATTGACCTCCCGTTCCCTGCATGAGGGCGGGGGACTTCCCCCTGCCCCACCCCCCATTGCATGGGGGAAGGGCATAAAGAATCATTTATACGCACGTGGAGACTCCTTTCTCATGGGGGCTTTTCTGAAGGCTGGAGGGTGTGGGGAGGCTCCTCAGCACAGGTTCGGAGTCCAAGCGTGGCTGTGCATTGGTAGCTGGAGGAGGGACCCCTGCTTGCTGGCGAATAGTTCACGCTGGCCGCTAGGTGGCAGTGCTCGAGGTAGCGGAGGAAGGTGGACTCGACACCTGTGAGTTATGACTTAGAAAAAAATCTGATTCCCCCCCCCCCCCCCCCCCCCCCCCCGTCTACCTCATAGACTTGGAATGAGGCTAAATGAGGGATGGGTTAAATGCCAGTACAAAGAAAATTGGTAGTGGTGGAAAAGGGTTCTGGACTCATTGCCGTCCACTGATTTCAGGCGGTAGGTGGCATATTGTCTGAAGGGCACGGAACTTTAGCATTCCGAGTGACAGAGTTACGGCGACTGCAGGACAGTGGTTATTGTAGGAATGAGAACACTTTGATTCCCCAAACACTGGACTTGGGGCAACGCTGGAGCTACTCAGCCTGTTCTGAGAACACCTGTGTTCAGTCCTTTCCAGGGACTGCGTCCCCACAGACATGGTATGCGATGAACATGGACTCATTCGGAGTGACAGGGAAGGAGCCTCTTCCCTCACGGTTAGGTCTTTAATCCCAGTTGAAATTGTGGCAGTTCGGGGTCACAGGTTTGATCCAGGTGTGCCCAGCTAGTGCTATCACTGGAAGGTAGAAGCATAGGAGAGCTGTTGTTTATTAGAGAAACGGTTTGGGAAATGTGGGTCCGAGGGCTGGGGGTGTGGGTCCGTGGTAGGAGTGCTTGCTGGTGTGCATGAGGGCCTGGGTTTAACTCCCGTGCCACCAAAAAACTGTGTGGCTCAGCTTGAAGCTTGGTCCCTTTCTCCTGAAGCCAGTGGCTGGGTATTATATGAATGATGGTGTCTTTTCAGTGAACCATTCATAAGCAATTAAAAAATTCCTTCATACATTGCTAAAGTCAGCTCCAGAGGCATTTTTTATTATTTGTCCTCTAATAGAAGGTTCTGCTCTGCCTCCTCTTGGGAAAGCTTGGAAAAGAAATGTTTGTCTTTAACAGCCCACCTTCCCTGGAGCACAGGGAACAACCTTGTTTATACCTCTCCAGAAGCAGGGTGGGGGGGTGAGGTGACCTTTGGCTGCTGTCCATGGTGCTGGCATCAGTTTGGCTTGTGGGTGTAGGAACCAAAGCTGCGCTGGAGGTCTGACTGACTTCCAAGTGTCCTGAGAGGATGGGGCGAAGAGGGGACCAATGCAGATCTCTCCAGCTCTCTAATAGGAAATGTTTACCAGAGACACACTCCTCCACTTCTTCCCACCAGAAGACAGAGGGCTCGGACTTTATCAATGTTAATGGAAGAGCTAGTGGCGATCGGATGGGGAACAGAAAATCAGTGATTATTCTGCAAAGGAACTCAGATAAGACAAGCATGGGACTTCTGAGCCAAGCCAAGGATGTTCATGGTGGTCCTTCATGGAAGCTAGGGCATACTTAAGAACACACACACACACACACACACGTATCCATGCGCAGTCTGAGTCCCCAAGGCCCACTTTCCCCTCCAGCACCAATGGAAGTCTTGGGATGGGGCCGTGCAGCTATCTATAGAATCTGTTGCCCGTTTCTGAATTTACAAACTCTTGTCCAGGAAAGGGATCATAGCCACTGCTGTCTCTTCAGAGTGGCATTCTGCATATCTGTATAGTCACTGGGTGGCACCGGCAGGTAGACCCTTTACTGAGTTCTGGGAGACAGACCTCATAGCTTAGGCTGTACTCTCCCCTCCAGCTCAGATCTACTAAACCTCAGGTATTTTGAACTTGGTAATGGGTGAGTAGAAGCAGATACTGAATGTATAGTAGAGGCGAGAGGAGGCCTGAGGCATGTCCAAAAACCTTGGTCTCTGCACAAGGCTTCCAGGCATGCCCTGCTTCTCTCGGTCATGTCTGATTGGCTCTCCATGGGAAGTTCACCGGCTGACTTCTGTGGCTAGGGGGCCATGTCTGATGGGCCAGAGGAAGTGTGAAGCAGAAGCTACACCCAGTTAATTGGAGTGGGAGGGAAGGAAGGAGAAAGAGGCAAGTCCTGACATGGGGAGGGTAGTCTGGGCTACAGAGGGAGTGGTACAGAGTGCTGAGAGATCACGTGGATGGAGGATGAGTGATTGTGGATACATCATACGGGGAATACTGTGTGCGGCCTATGAGGGCGGCCAGAGAGTGCTAACTTAGGCAAACGGAGATTCTCTTGCCCTGGCCCTTCTCCTGCCTCAGGGCTCCAGGGTTCCTGCCCACCTCTATTCTGCTTTCATCCTGCCTGATTGACTCCATTTCCCCGCCCGTATCCCTGTCTTCCTTTGAGGAAGGGCAGAGTGGTCAGTCTAGGATGGCCTTCGATTCTGGTGGCCCAGGCTCTGAAAGCTCCTTTGTCACCAAGAGTGGAGCTGCCTCTGAGCCATCTCGGTGGATCCATCGGCACCCAGACCCACTGTACGTGGGCTTCTGTGCCTACTGTTCACCTCCGGGAAGCCCGACTAGGCTTGGCTGTTCCCACTCAGATAGAAACTCCTCTGGGTTTGTCACAACACACTCTTCCAGACAGATCGTCCAGACCGCCCCATCCTTAAGGGAAGTTACTCCCAGAGCCTGAGAAGCCAAGGTGGGAGATGGGGGTGGGAGAAAAGTAGACCCCAAACCAAGGAATAGTCTTTTATTTTAACGCTTGATAATATAAATTATTTTCAATATAAAAAAGAAGACAGGCTGGGGGATAGGGACAAGCCAAAAGACGTGAAGATGTGGAGCAGACCACTTCAGAGTGGCCGAAGAGCCAAGGGGAGCTTTAAAATACCATAAATGAGGCTGGGACAGACTCACTTTCCTAGAGAAAAGGGGCAGGCAGAGCCTGGTGAGTGTTCATCCCTTCTGCTGCAAGGCCCAGATTCGATCTGAGGATGTACATGGTGTGACGTAGCCAGAGATGGACCCTAAGACTGCTAAAACTGTAAGTATCCCAATCCTTGGAAAGGTGAGATAAAGAGGGTTGTGAGTTCGAAGACAGCATGAATCACACAAGTGTCTGACTCAAAAAAGAAAAAAGTAGTCTAATAAACCAATAAGACTTCATTACTCTTCTCAAAGAGCTCACGTGCTTAGACAGGGACCCACCAGGTGTACACCAGGTGCACAATCACTTAGCTCATGCCACGGTAAACGCTTAGACAGCATGCCAGTGAACGCTGTAAGCACGGGAGGAACGGGTTGAATCCCTCCCCAAGCCACCCAGGGCTATTAACTATCATCCGAGTTGACTCTTTAAGGATGTGTTAAAATCTGATGGCTTTGGTCCTTGAGGAGTGACCAGGAGAAGTACCGAGCGAGAAAAAGAGTTGTGGTTCCATGAGGGCTGGCTGAGTCAGGTCACGCACACGCTTTACACATAGGTCACATCCTACTTTCTGAAGTTTGTCCAGACAGACAGGCCTCGAGGGAAGGTGTGCCTCCTGTGCCTAACAGAGAGCAGATGACTCCAGCTTCCTTCCGTGGGGCTATCTGTCTACAAACTGCAGGTTGATGCTCCTCTCAGGTACCAGGACAGTCCGGGTCATGGGTCTGACTGGGAGGGCACCAGGCTCAGGCAGCACCTCAAAATGGGTCAAGATCTAAAAAGGGGACGAAGAAGGTTATCACAATGAGTGAGCCTTGATTGGCAAAGAACATTTTTGGCATCAGAATGGCCACCGTTGGGATGGCATCTGTGGCCAGGAAGGGACTTCTTGGTCAATGAGGGCAGGAGTTATGGAAAATATCTTTGCTTGTACTCCAGACCTAGAATGGGAATTGGCTGAGTCTTACATGTTACACTGTGCTTGTCAGAGGACAAGAACACCCAGTCAGGAGCTTGTATAAGTTCTACATCACTTACCTGGACCAAAGCCATTTGTAGTTCAAGCTCCGCCAGGCGCCTCCCTATGCAGCTGCGTTTGCCAAAGCCAAAAGGAAGAGATGCAAATGGGTGGGGGGCTGGGCCGCCCCCCAGCCAGCGAGCTGGATTAAAAGAATTTGGCTCTGGAAACTGGGCAGGGTCCCTTGAAGTGGCATAGTGGCACAGAGAGACCAGCGTCTGAAGGGGGTAAATGCAAACTTGTCAGTTCAGTAGCCGGATTGTGAGTCACAAGCAGGATGGTGAGTTCAAGGCCAACTGAGGCTATACAGCAAGATCCTCTCCCCTCCCCACAAAGCTAACAGTTTGAGCCCGAGAGTGCAGGATGGGGGACCCTGAAGAAAATTCATGGACTAGTGTAAAAGCAGGCCCTGGTTGATGGTGAGGAACTTTCTTTATTGCTCCGTTATATATTAGAAAAAGGTATGATAAAGGGGGGGTCTGGAAGGTTTAGGGGAGTGTTTGAGGATGGCTTGGGCCCACAGGGGTAAGAAATGGCTTATCAGAAGGATCTACTCACATTTTGGGGGATAATATAATCACCCACACAGATATCTCTGTCTGGGACACGGGAATTCCCAGGTACCACAGGGTACAATCTAGGTCACAAAACAAAAGATGGATTCAGCAAGGTGCGGCTGGGGACCCAGCTCCTCCTCCTTCTCGGGAGTAGAGAGCCAGTTTTCCCTGCTCTCCCTCTCGGCTTCCATCCACTGTCAGCTTCCTCGGCATTTTCTCCTCCAGCATTCTCTCTAGTTTCTAGTTTTCTACCTCCTCACCTTAACACTTCCTTGATCACAGCCTTCAACAGGCGTAGCCGGGACAAAGCTTGGGGCTGGGCACGGGAGCCAGGGACCACAGCAGCTTTGATCTCACGGTAAAGTGCGGACTGGACTTCGGGGTGCCGGGATAGCTCATAGAGCGTCCAGGAGAGCGTATTGGATACCTGGAGGAACAGGTCAGACCATCTGGTGTTAGACATGGAAATTCTGGTGAAGTGGGTAGCAAAGGGAGGGCGTGGTCTGGAACCAAACAGTTCCTAAGGCCAAGCCTGTATACACGATCAAAGTGGATGCCCTGAATAGTGGCCCTGGAGCCAGGGAAAACTGCGCTCTGGAAATGGGGCTATAGAGAATCCTCACCGTGTCCACTCCAGCCAGTAGTAGCTCTGTCACGTTCCCCACGATGGACTGGACAGACAACTTTTCCCGAAAAAGGAAGTGGGTTAAGTGATGCCCAGACGGCACATCCTCCCCAAGTTTTCCCTGTTTCCTCACGGCTGCTTCGCCTTCTCGCTGCTCCACGTGCTTCTGGGCTGAGAAAGGCAGATTGATGCCTCATGATGCCGGTACAGCTTTAGATACTCTAACACGTCTCCCCTCCCCCACCCCGCCCCCAGCCAACACACACTTCTGTGCCTTACCAAAGGCGAACATTTGGTCCCAGTCTCGGCATAGGCGGGCCCAGGGTCCGGGTACAAGGCGGTGCATCCAGTTGGGCATTGCCATGGTCAAGAGTGTGGACACAAACACCGAGCCCACCGCATGGATGAAGGTCTCTGTGTCCGGAGGGACTTCAGCCTCAAGGCAGCCCAGGCGCGAACCCAGCAGCACCGCACCTATGCCTGACCGGCCGGAAGAGGGCGCAGTCAGACACCAGGCGTCTAGGTCCCAGAGCCAACGACACCTGTCCCTAACTGCTACTTTAGGATTCACCTTCTAGGCCAAATTTGTAAAACTCTCCCGCCACATCCTGAACGAGGTTGGGTAACCCAGAGCCACGACCCCGCTGGCGCCTTAGTCGTCGCACAAGGTCACGGACCACGTTGTCGAGAGTTCCTGCATAGCCAGCCGCTGCTTGAGGCCGGAGGAGTAGCGGGGCCAGGAGACTTCGGAGCCTCTGCCATTCTTCACCATCCCTGCCCGGGTGCAGAGAGCGCGCATCAGGGAGGTGAGCGTGTGTGGAGAAGGCTAGGGTGACCAGAAGTATCGTGCCTGTTCCCTCCGAGTGTAGAGTGTAGGAACCTGCCCCTGACCTTGCCCATCTTTCATCTCCCTTCTTTACTCATTTCCTGCCCAGGGATGGGAGTGGGTTCTAGGGTAAGCTGAGTCACAAAGGCTTACATTCTGTACAGAGGCTAGTACCACGGATTCTTAGGATCCTGGCCTCAAAGGGGGGCGGGGACAGGCAAGGACTCGGCTCTGCCTGAGTTTGGATGGTACAGATTGGAGAACTCGGAGATGCCAGAAGGTTGGTGGAAACTGCCGACTTCTCTCCAAGCCCAACTTGGCTGGATACAGGAGAAGGGCAGGGATAGAGGATTGGGAGGTCAAGGGATCACTCACGCTGTTAGCAATCCGCAAGCCCGTTGGTAGCGGCGACGGTGCTCTGCCCAAGATGAGAAGCTGCAGCGCTCTGGACAGGAACTCTCTTGTCGCAGCAGCTGCTCCACAAGTGCAGGGGAGGCCACATACACAGTGCGAAGTGTCCCGAGGCTACCGGACCATATTGGCCCGTAGCGCTCAGCTCCCTGAACCTGAGAACCCGTGCAGAGGACGTTTGAACACTTGGGAGGGTGACTCTTAGTTTGGCTTGTGCCAAGGCCAAGGGCGGTGGCTAGGCTTGATTAAAGGGAGCTTTTCCAGTGCTGGCCCAGATGTTGCAAACTTTTTCTTCCGCCCCACGAAAGTTTGGGCAGGAATGACAAAATAGAGGAACTTTGCATAAAGCAGACGCTTAGGGCTTCTTTATAGTTATCTGGCTTTAGCCTAGGGGGAGCAGTTTCTTCAAGACTCCTCTGCTAGATTGCACCTCAAGACGAACCTCCAGGAAAAGAAAAGGAACGTGCAGCTTTAAGCCACATCAGAAGGCTAGCACAATGCTCCCACGGCTCCCGTACTCTTGTCCTGGATCTGCAGGGTCTCCTATTGTAAAGTGATAGCACACCCCTTTGCCAGATATACTTGTAGACTCTGGTTCATTACCCACAGGTACCCATTCTCACTGGCCCTCCTTCTTGTGTTCTTCACTGTGGTCCTTTCTGCCATTAAAGCCAGTTCTCCCAGTTCAGTCCCACCAGTGGCAGGGACTGTCCCTCTTACCTGCAGTTCATGTAGCCTGGACAGCCCCCCTTTGCAGAAAAGTTCTGCCAGGAATCTTGGCATAGAGGGCCCAGGGATGTCAGACAAGCTCTGGAAAGCTAAGTCAGAGCTTCTGGAGGCCAGTGAAGCATCCAGCTGTGGAGGCAGGTGCACTCGATGGAGCACTCTGGAGGCGAGGCTGACAGCCTGGGTCATGTTTTATGTGCAGGGAGTTCGCCACTTCTCCAGAGCATCTTTTGCACTTGCCTGAACCCCTTTATAACCCTTGGCCCTGGGGGTGAAGACGCTCCTGTCCAGCCCTTCAGCCAATCCCTTTTGCAGAGAGCACAGCACCCAGGAACAGTAGGCGGGGCTTACTCCCTTGCTCGTTTGGGTCTCCTGTGGTAATGATTGCCGTCAGGGCTCCCTCAGTGCTCCTCTTGTATGCTTTGGTCCAGCGGCAGCAGCCGAAAGTTCTTTCTGAGAAAGGTTACTGAGCATGGATTTCGGAAGCCAGCCCCTCATAGTCCCACTACTTCCCCGGGGAGCCAAGTCTCTTCTCTATCACCCTGAATGGAAACAAGGTAAAGGCAGTTTCAGCCCCTTCTCTGCTGCAGGGATTTCCCTGCGATCGCCTAGCCACAGCTCTCCTCCTATGTCTGACACAGACACCACATGTAGGTCAATGGGTTAAAATGGTTCCCCTCTCCCCCCCCCCTTTTTTTTTTTTGGTATTTTAGTGTTTTTTATGTGTATGATTTGTCTTAATCCATGTGTGACGTGTCTGATGACAGTGAAAGTCAGGACTTAGATCCCCTGAACTTTAATTAAGGATGGCTGAGGCACCTATTGAGTGCCGGGAACTGAACTCAGGCTTTCTACAAGAGCAACAAGTGCTCTTAACCACCGAGCCATAGCTCTAATCCCTTTTCTTTTTAAAGATTTTAAACTAAGCAGATGCATGTAGTTTGCGTGCATTTGTGCACATGTGCATGTATATGCATGCCCAGAATCCAGGAGAGGACATCGGGTCTCCTGGAACAGGAGTTACAAGCTGTTGAGCCACCCATCTTGGGTGCCGGGAATCAATTTTGGGTCCTCTGGAAGAAAACTGAGAGCTCTTATCCACTGAGTCATCTCTCCAGACTTCATCTTTGTTTCTTGGGAGAGGGAGTGTCTTAGCTCAACAAGTCCCTTCCTTTCAGACATGATGATTAGGGTTTGAGGAAGAGAAATGAAGAGAGTGTCCGAGGGCCAGCAAGTAAGTGAACTTGACACCAAGCCTGATGATCTGAGTTTGATTCCAGGGACCCAGAGTGAAAAACAAGAACTGAGGCCATTGGGTTGTCTTCTACCATCATACATGGGCCTGTGCACACCCTCACCTCCACACACACAAAAATGTAAATAATAATACACTCCAGGCGGTGGCGCACACCTTTATCCCAGCACTCGGGAAGCAGAGGCAAGCGGATCTCTATGAATTCGAGGCCATCCCGGTCTACAGAGTGAGTTCCAGGACAGCCAGGGCTACACAGAGAAACCTTGTCTTGGAAAACCAATAATAATGAATCAAAGGAGTTTTGTTTTTGGAAAGTATGTAAGTTTGGAGATTCTGTCTTTGGATAGTATGAAGGCTAAGGTCACTCAGCCTCTTTTGGGCATCTTTGTGGTCAGCAGCCATATACTACTTTGAGCCACAGAATCCTCCCGTTCAGGGGCTGGAGAGATGGTTCAGCAGTTAAGAGCACTGGCTGTTCTTACAGACAAACAGGACTTGGTTCCCAGCACCCACATCAGTCTCTCACAACTGTCTGTAGCTTCAGTTCCAGGGGAACCAACTCCCTTTTCTGGCCCCCAAGGGCCCAGGCACGAGTGTAGGGCACATACCTACATGCAGGCAAATACACACATACATTTTTAAAACTAATATTCCAGTTTAGCTCCCTGCTCCTCGGTCTTTCTTCCTCCGCTTTCCCTCCCTCAGCCCATCAGGTAGTAAACCAGTCAGTTAGCTGGGAAAGTCTGGAATCAAAGGTCACCATGGTATCCCTCTCGCCCTCCAGTACGAGAGACGGCAACAATAACGGCAGCACCAACGGCCAGGAGACGGGAGGAGGCACGTGATACACACCCCAGCATTCCTGGGAAACAGCAGCATGGGCACGCGGGCACACACACTATCCCCAGGACTGCAGAGTAAACACAACGGGGGGTGGGCAACCTGAGCCAAACACACAGCTTAGACAGCAGGGCGCTGCCCTCTTCACTCCAGCTGAGGAGAACAAAACCCCACACTCCTCCAAATACACCCTCTGGTCCAAGGTCCTTTGACCTTCTCGGTCAGCTTCTTCTGCTTTCTTCTGACAGCGGAGGGGCAGGAACACAGAGTCAGTGATGGGTGAGAACACAGGCCACACCCAGCTTCTCGGAGAGATCATGGCCGTGTCCCAGCAGTCTGAGCAGGCCTGGGGTGGGGAGTTGATCTTTCTTCTAGTTACTAGATGAGTCCAGCTCAGGCAGGGTTAGAAGTCAGTGGTCAGGCAGGGTGGGATTGGGGGTCACTGTCTGGAGGACGGGATCCTGTATCCTTCGGAAGATGGCCGGGAAATTCTTTCCTCCATTGCGTAGAACTTTCTTTCCTTCCTCAGTGGAAGTGCCTAGATGTTCCACAATGGGATCTTCACTCTGCAGAAAGAGGGTCTGGCATGTCCCTATCCACCTTTCAAACTGCCCTGGCAGACTAGACTCCCATTCCTGCCCCTATGTTAAGTTCAAGGACTAGAGAACCACTTTGAATAGGGCTGGATTCTTGCAATTTCCCTCAGGCATCTTACTAGCTCTTCCAGAGGCACACGCTCGAACAGTGGGTGCTCTTCAAAATGGGTACACATCCACTGGTGTAGTTCCAGCACATCGGTGATGGTGTACACCAGGCCCTGGAGAGACAACATCATCTAGATATGGGCTGAACGCAACTAAGCAACGAGACGGGCATGATAGTATAACTGCCTAAATGTCCCCCCAGTTAATTCCTGGTGGAGAGCCCCGGGCAGGCCACCGACACCCTCCCCGCTCACCCAGACGCTCAGCACGTAGGCATATTCCACCAGGAGCGTGGCACCGACACCCTCCTGCTCACCCCGATGCTCAGCACGTAGGCATATTCCGCCAGGAGCGTGGCACCGACACCCTCCCGCTCACCCCGACGCTCAGCACGTAGGCATATTCCGCCAGGAGCGTGGCACCGACACCCTCCCGCTCACCCCGACGCTCAGCACGTAGGCATATTCCGCCAGGAGCGTGGCACTGATGATTCGCCACTTATGCTTCGTTCGCTTAAAATGTGGGTCGGGAAAGAGGAAGAACATCTTCGTCAGCTGTGGGACAGATGTGCACCAACAGGATGGCTTGTGAGTGCCTGGCTTCCCTGCTCCACCAGCCGACCAGCCCACCCACCCCACCCGGGCTGCTCCCCAGGCTGCACCTGGCCCTTGCGGAAGAAGTTAGGCAGGTGTTTCATGGCGTTACTGCGGAGGCAGGCAATGTTCTGGAATCCACCTCCAGGAGCGGCACGGAGGGCCCGAATCCTGTCTTGTACATAGTCCGACACCTTTACCCGGATCTCCAGACCCAGAATCAGGGTATCTGGGAAGAGTGGTGACAGTGCCACTGGGGACAGAAACGGCAAAGGGATCATCAGTGTCGTAGTTCAAGGAAGAACAAAGAGGTTTTAACACAGGAGAGAAAGTTTCTGTGTGTAGATACCTAAGCCGTGAGAGGGGCCACACCCACAGAGTTTTCTGCAGGAGACAGAAAAGACACAGAACTATCACAAGTCACAGGAGCAGTGTAGTGGCTCATGCCTTTAATCCTAAGCATTGGAAATAGGGGAAGGGGGACAGAGGCAGGTGGGATCTCTGTGAGTTCAAAGCCAGCTTGCTTCAGATAGTAAGTTCCAGACCAGACAGGGCTACACGGCAAGATCCTGCCTCAAAAAATGAAATAAAAACCAACAAACAGATCTGTCATATAGACTAGAGTAAAAGGGCAGAGACTACAAGCACAGCTGCGTTTGTTTCCGAGTAGTGTTTCAGCTTCCCGATGCTGCGCAGGAACTTTAGCTCCTCATGCTGTGCTGACCCAACCACACCATTACTTCACTGCTACTCATAATTGTAGTTTTGCTACTGTTATGAGCTGTAATGTAAATATCTGATATGCTACCCCAAAGGGTGGCGACCCACAGGTGGAGAACCGCTGCTTGAGCGTTTTCATGACAAAGTCTCATTTGATCCTTTTCACGCTCTGTGGCAGACTGTGAAGGTGGGGAAACTGAGGGCTGGAAATGCTCACGATCATAGAACTAACAGGGGAGAACTGAGACGTGAGGCAACATTTCCAGTCTCGACCATGTCCCTCTCTCTATAGGGGAAGGGTGAAACACAGGCGAGAAGTTTGGCATGCACACTCTCGAAAGCCAAGACAATACAAGAGGAACTCCAAATCCTAAGAGAGTGGGGCAGAATGTGTTCTGGCGAGAAAGCGAGTAGAAGGGAGAAGCCAGTGGAATCCCCAAGAAAGACAGTTCAGGATCAGTGCCCGTGGTAGCTGATCTCTGATGCTTGTGCTGACCGGCTCACTGACCCAGCACAGGGCAGGTGACATGGCTTGTGTAGGGACTGGAGCCAGAAAGAACGGCCCAGTCCTAAGATACATTTCAGGTAGCCCCCTCCCTTCTCCAGGGCAAAGGCCACAGACCCAGGGTAGAAGAAAGGTGGAGGCTCGCCACCTGATGTCACTGCGTCTGGTCACAGGAGGAAAGGTCAACTAACCCTGTGCCTGACCTGCTGAGGTTGCAGATCCCAGGCCTCTCCTTGTCCCAGGGAGCCGGCCGGTACCTTACCTAACAAACCACCGTAGCCACACCCTATGTCTGCAAACTCCACTTGGGCCCCAGCTTGCTTCTCTTTCTCATCCTTTGCATCATCATGGCTCTTATTTTGAGTAAGCGGAGCAAAGAACTCTGGGTAAAGCTCAGACCAGTCCATCTCTTCTGGTTTCACAGGGCTATTGGAAAGAAGACAGACACATGAGACTGTAGGGCACGCCATTGTGACCTGTTTGTGTAGGGGTGGGAGGGGGATGGTAGATTTCTCAAAAAAATCCACAGTTGTGGGCCATGTGGTATCTAGAGGGCATGACAGAAAGTCCATTGGCTCCTAGGGTGTGGATCACAGCCCTTCATGAGGCTATGATTGCTGGCCTGCCAGTCTCTACTTCTGGGCAGTAACGTGCCAGGGAGCTCTCCTTTCTGGAACGAAAGTTCTTTCTCCTAGACACTGACTACCTGAGGTACTGGGACACTAATCTATTTATGTATGTGTTTTCTGTGCAGAGGATGAAGCAAGCAGTGGCCAGGAGTGTGTATATGTTTATCTTTTTATAAACTAAAAAACTAAAATAAAATAAAAAATAAAAGCAAATCGGAGCCCGGTATGGTGGCACACGCCTTTAATCTCAGCACTGAGGGAGGTGGATCTCCGTGAGTTCGAGGCCAGCTTGGGCTACAGAGCAAGTTCCAGGACAGCCAGGGCTGCCCAGAGAAACCCTGTCTCGAAAAATCAACTTGCTTCGCGTCTTCACTTTGGTTTCAGCAATAGTGTTTTTCTCTTCCCAGATCTGGTTGGCAAGTCCACCCAGACCTGGTCTACAACACCAGGACCCCTCCCAGCCGCCAGCCGGTCAACTCCGCCTTCTGCTCGTCTCCCTAACCCGTTCCCAGCTGACGTGTCACCCGGACAACTCTCCCGGGTCCTTCTCAGGTCCCAGGCTGCTTGAGGAGCCCTGCCTCCCTCCCGGATCCCGCCCGGCTCGCTCACTAGCGCAGCGTGTGGTCCGCCATGGGGTTGGAGTGGGCGCGCTGCCGGTAATAGCGCTTCTGCGGCTGGGGGGCCTCGGTTCCCGCCATGATGCCACAGAATCCACGTGGAGAGCCGTGGCTTCGGGCTCAGGTTGATGACGCAGACCGCGGGCTGCCAGTAGGCCCCGCCCCTTAAAGAACCAGGGGCGAATTCTGCTGGACGTGACGGGAGGACCCTGAAGGGGCGAGCAGGGGACAGCAAGCGGACTGCTGGACTGACTGAGCTCGCGGGATGAGCTCCAGGCACCCCGCCTTTTCTGTTGGCTTGCTTCTGCCTGGTCTGGGCTCCCAGATGCCTCCATGCACCTGTGCGCCCCACAGGTGAGCGGGCTATGAGGATCCCGCCTCTGACGGTCGCATCAAGCATTATTTCTTTTCCCTACTCGTGGTCTCAAACCAAGTCAGCCGGGTCAGACCTGTGTGGTGCTGCATGGGTCCTGGTCTGTGTGCGCCAGGGACCCGAGCTCGAGGGGTCGTCCCCATCCATCTCCAGGAAGTCCAGTTGGAGGGAGGAGGGCGAGCTGGGGAGGCGGGGCCCGGTGCCTGGGAGCAGCCCAGATGGCTGGCAGTCCCCAGCCTCAACCCAGCCATCGAGTGAGATCCGAGCGCCGGCCGACGAGCTCCTGTGCTCTCTCTGCCTGATGGCCAGCTCCCACTCGGATCCTGAACCCGAGCCCGAATCCGTGTTCCCACGGGAGGTCCTGCTCTTCACCGACTCTTACTCGGAGAGCAGCCGGTTCTGCTTCTGTGGGCACGAGCTAAGCATCACGCAGAACTTTGGGTCGCGCCTTGGGGTGGCGGCACGTGTGTGGGATGCGGTGAGAAGGGGCTGCCCTCAGTGAGGGTCCCTGAGAGATCCAGATCCCGGACCCCGCCTCTCCCATATGGAACCACGGTCGTGACAATGTCCCTCTTTCTCTTTCTTTCCAACCCCTCGTAGGCTCTGAGCCTGTGTAACTATTTCGAGAGTCAGAATGTGGATTTTCGAGGCAAGAAAGTGATCGAACTGGGAGCTGGGACGGGCATCGTGGGAATCTTGGCTGCGCTGCAGGGTGCGTGAGCTGGCATCGCGGAAGGAGGGGGAGCCGAGTGTGGGAAGTTAATACGTGGATCCCTTAGGGTGGGCAGGACTTTTGAACTCAACTCAGTTCTTTAGTTTTAACAAACCCTTACTTTACTGTGAGGCAGACAGCGCTGATCGGAGTTCAGAACACCCAGGCTAGTTAGTACAAGGGTGGGCAAAACAAACCAAGAAATGCTGGAGATGCTCTTGGGTTAAAATGCATGTGTGGGTGGGTATTCGGAAGGGAGAAGAGACCTAGGGCGTTCAACCGCATCAAAGCTTTATAGCTTCGTTATGTTAGAGTCTTTTGAGTTTTATCTTCTTTAATCTCCCTCTTCTCTCTTCTTCTTCTCTCTCTCTCTCTCGGATCTGGGATGGGGTGTGGTCTAGTCGAGAAAAGTCTCTTACTGCCCAGGCTGGCCTAAAATGGTCCTCATACCTCTATTTTCCAAGTGCTGGAATTACAGGTGCATACCACCATACCAAATACAGCTTTAGGTTTTTATTGCCAGAAGAAAGAAGGGTGTGAATTTTGGAGGGCTAGGGTGTAATGGTTATATATATATATATATATATATATATATATATATATATATATATACACACACACACAAATATATATTCATTTAGATGTAGGTGGTGTCCTGGTTATAGATATTCATTTTAGATATAGGGGGTAATTAATAAAGAGTCAGAAACTAAAAAAGTTCCTTACCTGTGATCTAAGTCATGCAAACAAGATGTCCTTGTCACAGGGGACATAACTGGGTCACATTGAGGGAAGGCTTTGCAGACACAGACATTCATTCTTCTGTTCATTCAGTCAACATGTATTCTAAGTCCTCTGAGTGCCAAGAGTCGTGCTGGGGGCGCTGACATGGATAACAAGGATTTCCTCTCTCCAAGAACTCGTGGTCTAGGGAGAGGCAGTGTGAGAAGACGCGAAGGCACATACTCTGTGGCGGGGCTCTTGTCAGAGCTACCTTGACCGCTGAAGGGTTCATCAAGGGGAAGCTGACAGCTGAGGGGTTGTGGAGGGTGAGTGGATGAGAGTTAGAAAGTTACATTAGGAGGAGAGACGCTAAATCTAGGGGTTCATGCCTGTAATCCCAGCACTCAGGAGGCAGAGGTAGGAAGATTGGTATAAGGTCAAGGGCCAACCTGGGCTATAGCATAAGACTGTCTCAGGTAGGAAGGGAGGGAAGGAAGAAAGGGAAAATGTGTGTGTGTGTGTGTGTGTGTGTGTGTGTGTGCACGTGCATGAGAGAGAAAGAGGGAGAGAGCACCCACTGTCAGGCCAGCTGAGGCCTTTTTGTGCCCTGTTTAGTTGCCAAGTCTGAAATCTGGGTGTGATCTATTCTTTCGCTTTGTGTCCCAGAAATCAGCTGGTCTTGTATTCTTAACACACGCACAACTGTCTGTCCCTTGTCCCACCATGTTTGGGTTGTCCACCACCACTTCTTGCCCCAATTTTCCTAAGTGTCTCATGATGGGAAGGGTTACCACCCCCAAACTGACCCTGTGATCTTCCCCCACCAAACCTGTTTCTCCCTCAGGCTCTCTCATTACGAAGCCACCACCCACCCACCCAGTATGGAGCCTTAACATCACCTTTGTCATGTCCCTGCTTTTTTCCCCCATACCCTTCATGTCCTGTGGACTTTAACTCCTAAAAATCTCTTGGATTTTCTTGTGTTTTCTCGACTCCCCTCCTGGCTCCACAGCCTGAGCCACCATCATTATCTGCTCAGACTATAATAAGGAGTTAAACTGGTTGGTCTTCTTGCTTTGAGTCCTGGCCCCCACCTACATCCTGGCTCACTCACACCACCCTACAATCAGAATGGCTTTTTCAAAATGCAGGTATCATCCCCACACCCCACCACACCATACACCGTTGCCCAAGTCGTCTACCGATCCTTATTTCTTTCCGTGTAAAAGTGACCCCTTTGACCTGGCTACCAATGTCCTGCCTCCCTCTGTGGCCTCTTTCTGTTCTGCTCCCTGGCCTGTATCTATTACCTTTCTCTCCATTCTACAAACCTGCTTTGATGTCTCCTTCCTTTGGGACTTCGTGGGGGCTGCACTTTCTGCTTGAAACAGTTTTACTGCTTGGCTAATGCAAATGTATTCTTCATTGCTAGGCTCAAACAGCCCTTCCTTCCTCCCCACCACCCCCAGCCCATGCTGGCTTGGATCTCTTAGTACTCACACAACTGTGCTCATAGACTCACTTTAAGTTGGTTTTCACTGAGCTCAGGTGGGTCCTTGTGCTACCCAGCTAGCTTGTCAAATTTCCTTTGCCTGCTTATTCTTCCACACTCCTCTTAGACATCTATTTCCTAACCTTCTTATTCTTCAAACTGTGGATGCCTCCTCTGCAATTACCTCTCTTATCTGTGTATCTATCTATCTATCTATCTATCATCTATCTATCTTCTATCTATCTATCTCTCTATCTATCTATCTATCTATCTATCTATCTATCTATCTTCTATCATCTATCTATCTATCTATCTATCTATCATCTACCTATCTATCTATCTATCTATCATCTATCTATCTATCTATCTATCTATCTATCTATCCTTTACACACAGAGTAGTATCTACATACTGGCTGTGTATATACATGTGTATATGATTGATATATATGTACATAACTATGCTGAATTTCTATTGTGGGTAGGTCAGCGACCGATCCTACATCCCCTACATCCAAATGTTCACGTCACTGTAGTCCTCTCCTGTCCTTTCCTCAGTCCACCCCAGTTAGGCATTTCCTCCGGGTCTCTAGCTGGGGTTGTGTTTTGAACTCAGGACCAGTCTCTAGCACACTCCAGTTGTTTCAGCACTGACATGATACTCTTCTCTCCTTGAAACGTCCTTTGCTTTCTGGGCCAGTGCACTTCTGGCTTCCACCTACACTGCTGGCATACTTTTTCATTCTTTTTATATTAATTCCTTTTCATCCTTACAACAGAGACTTTGAGCGCCCCAGAGCTCAGGAGTAGCCCTTTTGACCCCTTATTTTTTTCTGGCTATGCTCCCTCCTGAGAAGTCACATGATTTTGTGGCTTTGAGTGTCCTTTTTAAGGTGAGGACCAGGATTCTCTCATTTCTATATCCAGACTTGTTTACATAACCCATTGCCTACTCAGTATCTTCCCAGGATTGTTTGATAGACATTTCAGACTTTGCTCACAAATGAAATCGCGCTCCCGTTTCCAAGTCTGCCTCCTCTCCTGAAGCCCTCTTCTTTGACATCGCGGGCAATTTGGTCTGAGTTAGGCCAAATGTTCAAAAAAACATTCCCAGTCAGTGGTGCACACACCTTTAATCCCAGCACTTGGGAGGCAGAGGCAGGCAGATCTCTGTGAGTTTGAGGCCAGCCTGGTTTACAAGAGCTAGTTCCAGGACAGGCTCCAAAGCTACAGAGAAACCCTGTCTCGATTCAAAAAAAGAATCTTTAATCAAAATAAAAATCCTTAATAAAAATCTCTGATAAAGGAGAGAGAAAGATAGGGGGAGAGAGAGAGAGAGAGAGAGAGAGAGAGAGAGAGAGAGAGAGAGAAGAGAAGAGAATATCAGATTGTTGACACTGGCAGCACCTTCAGAATATATTCAGAATCTGATTGCTTCTTTGTCTTTGTCACTTACCTGATTTCCAACCAAGATCATCTCGCCCCATGACAGGTACCTTTGCAGTTGCCTCCTAACTAAATTCCCCTACTTCTGTTCTTGCTCTGCTGCAGACTTTTGCTTGTGTGTGTTTTTTAAAGATTTATTTATTTATTTGTGTGTGTTCTGCCTGCATGTGTGTACCACATGCGATCCTGGTGCCTGAAGATGTCCGAAGGAAGCACCAGATCACCTGGAACTGGGGTTGCAGATGGTTGTGAGGCACCATGTGGGTCACATGATGGGAGTCAAGCCGGGGTCCTCTGCAAGAGCAACACAAACACGTGCTCTTAACTGCTGAGCCATCTCTCCAGCCCGCTTGTGGGTTTTGTTTTGTTTTTTTGTTGTTTTTTTAAATCACAACAATCAAAGTACACCTAATAAACCCTGAGTCAGTGTAGAAAGTTCTTCCACTTACAACTGTCCCACCGTCTCTCATCACAGGAGTTGCCCTCCCCCCTGTCCCCCCTCCCTCTGCTCCTGCTGCTGTTTGTCCCTGCTGCTCCATCTTCACACCTGCCAGGCACGGTCCTGCCTCAAGCTCTCTGTGTGTGCTTGCTGATCAGGTGTTTGGTAGACTTTAGCCAGGGGGAGCCACGTGGTTTGCTCCATTCCTGCTTCTCTTTGGGTCTTTCCCAAGAATGCTTAGGGAGGATTTCCCAAGCCGTCTGTCCTCAAAGGAGTCAC